GGCTGTGGAGAGATCGCTCTGGCGTGTCCAGAGTATCTGTCGTACAAGTGCCTGTCTTGTTAGGCGGCGCAGTGCCCGGGCTAGGGCACTGCGTTTTGCTCACATACTCATGTACTGCCTGTAAGAACCATGAAGGGCTTCATGCGTTCCTGATCTGCGGCGCAGATCTACAGCTTACATGCGCGCTTTAACGTAGTCATAGACAACGATCTCCCAAGCGTTGGGCAGCCCAACGTAGCAGTCAGAATAGGCGATAGGTTATCAGTTCCCCGTGGGCCTGGTCAGTCCGCGGCTCAGCCGTCTTGAAGCCCGCCCCAGCACGGGACGAGAGGCGCTGAGGAGCGCTCTACGTCTACAGCAAGACTAGGAGTGCGCCTTCCGGTTACGGGAGGCAGAGACGGAACCAGCAAAACGCAGTCATCGGCCGGGCTGGTGGAGACGCCATCCTCGCCGAGACCTTCGCTCACCGGTTTCGGTACAGTATCGGTGCTGGGATTAATACGTGTATAGGCTACAAGCGGGAGAAGCAGATCTCGCTACAGGTCTCGTCTTGCATGCGCGGGCATTTTCGCGCGTCACACGGTTACTTTAGGTCTACCGCGGCCAGCAAGGCTGTCGTGGACACCGCGGCATTTTCCTTTTTAGGTTGACGATTTTAGCTGTTCCGGAAACAGGAATTCGCGCGTGCGGCTTGCATCAACCTTAGGCTACATTTCAGGCCCAGCCTGAGGCACGAGCACGGCTCGTACGCGCTGCTACGAGCAGCATTGTCAGCAATTGCTTTATAGGCCAGGCCTAGCCTGTGGAGCGAGCGATTCTCGCGGAAGCCAGCGACTCTTTTGCGAGAGTATCCTGTGTTAGGCGGCAACTGAGGCCTGGATTGTTACAGGCCTAGCTCTCATAACTCCCCGTGTGCTCCCTCCCTTTGCGCTCCCGTGCTGCCCACAGGGTTGGCAGCGAGCGGTGCAGCGTGGGATCGCAGCCCCTCACGGAGGAGCAGCCAACGGTGAGGGGGAGCAGAGCGGTCCTCCGCCGCTCGTTGTTCAACCCTGCTGGTGTAGCTCAGCGGCTACGCTCAGCTCAGTTCACAGCTCAGCGTAGTGCAGCGCAGACGTAGTGATAGATAGTGAGTGCAACATGTCTCACGGTAACCATCAGGCGTCTGGTGGTCACCGCAGTGAGAGGGGGAACCCGGTGCAGGAGGAGGTGGTGCCGCGACGCCGCGCGGCCAGTGTCGCCCATGTCGGTCAGGGGGTGTACCGTGCGGCGCTGGCGGTTGGCGGAGCGGCCATGCGGGCCGCCGGGCAGGTCTTGGCGGGTGCTGGCGCGGGACCCTCCAATGCCCCCCCTCCGGCTGCCGTTAACCTACCGCCGGCCAGTGCAGCCGGTGGCGACCCTGCCGTCCGTCGCAGCCTGCGCGCTCGCGGCATCCCGGCGGAGCCGATGCCCCCGCTCCCGCCTAACGGCAGACGGCGTGGTGCCGCGCCAGCCGCCACGGCGGAGGCCGCGGCGGCCCGGGGGGCTGCAGCGGCAGCCAGCAACCGCGCGGGGACGCCGGTTTCGCTGCGTGACCTGCCAGGGGCTGCGTTCGCTGCTGCAATGGCGGAGGCAGAGGCAGCGCGTCACCTCGAGCGGTCAGACCCCGACAGCGATGTGTCCTACGAGCCGATAGAGACGGAGGAGGAGGTTGGGTCGTTGGCAAGCCGCAGCGGCACCCCCACCCTGTCGCCGGAGCCCAGTGAGGTATACCGACAGCTGTCGCCAGCCCTGGTGGGCAGCCGCCGCCGTGCTGGGCGGGCCCCAGAAGGCCGGCAAGTGGTTGGCTCCGCCTGGCTGCGGTCGTCGGTAGCAGCATCGGAGGCTGATCGCTCGGAGCGCAGCCATGGCACGTCGCGCAGCCACGGCACGTCGCGCAGCCACGGCACGTCACGCAGCCATGGCACATCACGCAGCTCTGCCTCGCGGGCCGCGCGTGAACGGGCAGGAGCGAACGTGACACTCTCGGTGAGGGAGCTCGTGCAGCTTCTCCACGAGGAGCGCTCACTGTCGGCGCTTCCGCCGCCAGCCCCGCCAGAGCCCCTTGTGCCACCGCCCATGGCACCTGCTGCGCCGCGGCTGTCCGCGTACACGCAGCCGTCCGTGGTCACCCTCACTGTGCCGCCCCAGCCACTCCCCACGGGACCCGGCTCAGGGCCCCATGCGTCAGTGGCCGCGCCGGTCAACGTGGGTGTGGAGCCGCCGCCCCCGGGGGCGGCAGCAGCCTGCCTGGCGGCGCCCTGCGCCGCTGCTGCCTACCAGGGTGTAGGACTGCTGCCGGTGGCGCCGGCCTACCACGCTGTCCCGCCGCCGCCGTCGGGTCTCCCGGTGTCCCACGTTGCCGTCGGGCCGCCACCAAGCTGCACGCCTGCCGCTTACCCGCTGGTGCACCCGACGCCCGTGCCAGCTCAGCCGCTCCAGCCGCCTGCCGCGCCTGGGGTCGCCCTTAAGCTGGCCCGACCCGGTGAGCTTCAGGACCCGCCGCCACTAGCCAACCTGAGGAAGATCGAGCACCTACCCGCCGAGGGTAGGTGGGACGGGAAGTGGCATACCCAGGGACCCTTCAAGCGTTCGGTGGTAAAGTGGGTCATCTCCTCGGTCGGGTCGCTCAAGTGCCTGAATCATCCCGCGTCGCCATCGCCGTTTGGGCTGGTGGCGGTCCTCAGCGCGGGAGCCGGTGTGGCTGACACGACCTTTGACAGCTGGTGCCTCAACCTCGACTGGCAGCAAGCGGTCCAGGACGATCACCGCGCGGCTTGGGAGGCCACGGGGGCCGACTGGGTGTATGATGGCCGCGCTGTCCGCACCTTCCCGGATGGCAGGGAGCTCGTACCCCACCTCCTCTGGTTCTGGCTGGAGCGCGCAATCAGCAGGGCCCCGAAGGAGTACACCGCGGCCGAGAGGCAGCTCGAGGCCTTCACGCTGGGGCCAAAGGAGTCCGCCGGTGCGGCCTACCAGCGCCTGCGGGACATCGCGGCCCTCTGCCTGCCTAGCTTGGTGACGGAGGCGCGGGTGGGGGCACAGTTCCTCAGGGCCATCGTCCAGGACAGTGTGCGGGACAAGGTGGACAGCTGGTTCCGGGAGAGGCGCATTCCTCTGGAGGCGGTGACGGCGGATCAGGTCCATAGTGCGCTGGAGGGGGCCCAGGCTGAGCTGGCAACGCGCCGGGCGCCGCCAGCGCCGGTGACAGCGGTGACGCTGGTAACGGCACCACTGGGTCACCCAACGCAGCAGGAGATGCTCCACCGCTTCCCGCAGCCTGGTCCACCAGTGGTGGTGCGGCCCCGTCCGCCGGGTACCGAATGCTGGTGCATCTTGCACCAAACCAGCCACCACGGGGGGGATGACTGCTTCAAGACCCGGCAGCTGATAGAGCAGGGCCCCGCTGGCCAGGTGAAGTTCGCCCAGCTGGCGCACGCAGGCACGGTGGCGGAGCGGTGGGCACTCCAGGGTCGAGACAGGGAGGGCGGCCGCGGTGCCGGGGGTGCTGCGCCCCAACCGCAGCCGCGGGAGCCGCGGCAGCCACCGTATCAGCCGCAGCCACCACGGCCGCCGCCGCCGCCCGCGCAGCATCCTCCTGAGCAGCAGCAGCCACCGCAGTATGCCGTCAACGCCATCTTCAGCGGTGATCTCGCCCTGGGCTGTGATCTCGATCTGCCCGGTGAGGCGTACACCTTCAACACCTCCACCGCTGGTAATCTGGCTCCAGGCCCGGTGCAGTCGGGGCTGCCGCCTGGCTTCCTGGCAGTGCAGGCGGGTCCGCGGTCGCTCAGTTCACGCCCCGGCGGCGACAACGACCCGCCCGGCGCGGCACCGCTGGCGGCCGGTGGGCGGCCTGCCCCAGTACAGGCACGGGCAGACAGCAACGGGGGTGGCAGCGGGCTACCTGCCCGCCTGGCCAGGACGGTCACGGACCAGGTTCTGAACAACATCGTCGCCACCTGCGCGCGCCATGACATGCGGCTGGGCCTGCTGGAGCAATACCTGGGGGTGGAGGTGCCGCTGGAGGCGACGGCCCTAGTGCAGCACGAGCAGCATGTCGGAATCCAGTCCACGATGCTGGAGCTACTCAACACCTCACTGGCAACGGGGGTCTCATGTCGCGGCCTGCGGGCTGGGCGCACGGTGCCGGACTCCGCCAGCAATGTTACCATCATCGTAGAAGACCTGGCGGTGGCGTGGGGGCTGCCGCTGGAGTACGACACCGGCGTCATGGTGCACACCGTCTCGGGAAAGTCGCGGGAGCTGGCGCGGGTGCAGGGAGGACTGTCGCTCACCATCGCAGCGGGCACGCCGCGGACCATCTCAGTGACGGTCGCGTGCTTCGTGGTGCCTGGGCCGCAGGTCTTTGATCTGCTGCTCGGGGCGGACTGGCTGCGCAGCGTGGGTGCGGTGCTGGATTTTGGCTGCCAGAGCCTGGGGTGCCGCTACCCTGGTCGGTCCATGGCCGGGGCGCCGGTGGTGGAGCTGCCCCTTCGGCCCTTGCGGCCGAGGCCAGGCCTGGCCACGGCTGTGTCTGCCGCGAGCAACGTGATCCATGCGGCGCCTGTGGGAGAGCTGCGGTCGACTGGGCTGGTAAGACGGTCGGAGATGGACAGCGCGGTGCCTGCCGCCAACGCCGCTGCCGTGGTGCCGCCGGCGCCAGCCGCCATGGCGCCGCCGCCGCTGCCTGTCGCTGAGGAGCCGCTGCCGCCGTTGCCTGCCGCCATCGCCGCCGCCGCTGCGCCGCCGCCGCTGCCTGCAGCCGAGGAGCTGCAGCCGTTGCCGGCCGCCACTGCCGCCAACGCCGCTGCCGTGGTGCTGCCAACGTCGCCGGCCGCCGTCGCTGCTGCCGCCGCGCTGCCGTCGGCGCCAATCGCCGTGGAGCTGCTGCCGTTGCCTGCCGCCATCGCCGCCGCCGCGGCGCCGCCGCCGCTGCCTGCAGCCGAGGGGCTGCAGCCGTTGCCGGCCGCCACTGCCGCCAACGCCGCTGCCGTGGTGCTGCCAACGTCGTCGGCCGCCGCCGCGCTGCCGTCGGCGCCAATCGCCGTGGAGCCGCCGCCGTTGCCTGCCGCTACCGCCGCTGCCACCGCGTTGCCAACGTCGCCGGCCGTCGCCGCTGCGCCACCGCCGGGGCCAATCGCCGTGGCGCCGCCGCCATCGCTGCCGCCGCTACCTGCCGCGGCGCCGCCGCCCCCGCCAGCGCCAGCCGGCCAGCGGCCCGCGCCCTCCTTGGAGGCCGACACCTCGTCCGATGACGATGCTGCACCAGAGCTACCGGTTGAGGCGCGCCGGCGCGTGCGCCGCCGCTGGCAACGGCGCCTGCATGACATGCTGCCGGGTATCGGTGACACAGGCGACCCCTTCGATGCCTTGCCGCCTCCTGAGGCGATGGATGAGGTGGTGGCGCTGTGGCGCATGCTGGGCTTCTACAAGCCCTACCTGTCTTCGCGCTGGGCGGACTGCACGCCGTCGGGGGAGGCCTTCGCATGCGGGGGCGGCCAAGCCGGCGGCGGTGGCGCTCGTTTCGGCGGGTGGGGTAGGCCTGGGATGTGGGTCGCCGGCGGGGGCGGCTGACGGGCAGGGGGCGACAGCAGGGTCGCGTGAGGTGAAGGGGGACGTAGGGCAGAGTGAGGGGCCGGTCACGGGGCCTTCGGGTAGGCCGCAGCAAGTGGTGATGCGGGATGAGGTCGGCAGGTTGCTGTTTCCACGTACGGAAACGAGGAGGTTTGATGAGGAGGCGGCTGCCTTGGATGGCAGGCGGGTGCGCCTGGAGGGGGAGGGGCTGCGTGTGGGGGTCTTGCGGTATCGAGGGGCCATCATGAGGCCCGAGTATTTTGTGGTGGCCTGGGAGGACGGGGGCCGAGAGCAGGCCACCCTGGCATGCGTGCGGGAGTGGCTCATCTGAGCGGGCGTGAGCGGGGGTGCGGTGCTGGGGGGGCCCTGCGGTCCTGAGGGGAACCGGTCCTGAGTGGGTGGCTGCGCTCTGGGATGGCGGGCTCGCGTTGGGGTTAGGGGGCTGCGCTGTGCAAGGGCGGGGCCGAAAGGGCTGGTCTGGATTCCAGGGGGAGTCGAAGGGCTGAGGCTGCCGTACTAGTGTGGGGCCTGCGGACTGGGGTTTTGGTGTTAGGGATGGCCTGACGGGTCAGGTGCTGAAGAAGAGTGGACGGACGGTTATTACGGCCCGAGCGGACGGGCAGGAGAGGAACGGACGGACGGTTATTGCGGCCCGAGCGGACGGCCAGGGAAGGACGGAGCGAGTGTCATGCCTTCTCGTGCTGTGGCGTGACCTGCAGTGGTCTCTTTCCGCGCTTTGCCTGTGTTGGCGTGGTCGGGGGTCCTTGCGGACAACCAACCCAATGCTGGCTTGGTTGTGGGGGGGAGTGCGGACCCCGGTGGCACCAGAGGGCCAAACCAGCGTTGGGGCACGACAGCTGTCATGCCCCATCGTTGGCTCGTGCAGTTTGTGGTCACGGGTGGTGACGCTCGCGGGCATGTCCCATGGTTCAGTTGGATGATGACGGTGCGAATTGCTACTGCTGAGGTGACTGAGTGGTTCCGGTTATGATGGCTGGTATTATCGCAGTTCCTTTGCTTTAAGTGTTGTGGGCTGTGGAGAGATCGCTCTGGCGTGTCCAGAGTATCTGTCGTACAAGTGCCTGTCTTGTTAGGGAAACACCATGGAACACGCTTCCATAGGATGTGAAATTAGTGAAAATTCCTCACGACTTACCCCGGAGGCCATGTTGATGCCCAGCAGGAAGTCTCCTTGACTGGAGGAAAATAATCCGCCTAGCAATGAGCCTTTCTGCTAGCTCTGGAATGCCCTGAAGCTCGACTGGCACAACCGGGAATCCAAGCCCATTGTCTACAGCGAATCGCGGGCAGCGATCCCTACGGATGCTATTTAAGCATGTATGGCATATACGGTATGCCCTATGCCAGTTCGGGCTACCCATCCTGCAAGGTTTGTTGCCCACACTTCGCTGAGGGTGTCATACATGGTATCCGTGACCTCTACCACTGAATGTTTGAACAGACGTCGCTCACAGCAGCAGCATGCGAACGAGCAGGTTTGGGAGAACGCTTCTCTGCACGCCTTCTCAGCAGCTTCGACACACGAGTGCGTGCTGGTGGTCGGGAGCCCAAGGCCGTCGGAATCCACATCTGCCTCGTTCTCGGTGCCGGGTTCGTCTTCATCTGAAAGGGCATGGCGCGAACCCAAAACTCCGTCATCTATGTATCTCAAGCAGCAAGTGTGCACTGAGGCTTATCCAACGTTTGTGCGCTTAAATGAAGGCCGGAGCTATAGAACCTTTGTCAATGCCCCACAACTAGCAAATATTGGCAAACAACCAATAACCCACCAATGTCACCATCCTCCACACCGCTATTGTTGCTGACGTTTCCATTATCCTCTGATGAACATAGAAGACGCTGAGTTTTCGCCAACTGCCGAAGTCGGTAGTGCACTTGATGGTACGTGGCAGCACTTCCATTCAACTCCTTTACGACAGCGCCCGCTGTTACTTTTCTGTTGGTGGATTGTAGCGTGAGCACTGCTTCCTGAAACGCTGCTTCCTCGTCCGGAGTCCACTTTGCACGCTTCTTCGAAGGCTGAGTGGTAGCGTTGGGCCTAGGCCGGATATACTTTTGCACGGCTTTGTTGTATTGCAAAAAGCTGATAACACGTTTATACGTCAAGCCCTTCAAGCGCGTGTCGGAGCACACTTCGTCATGCAATAGCTTGGCAGTAAGTTTCAGTCCGCTAGAAGCAATAGTCTCGGCTGCTTTACACATAGCGTCAACTTCATATGTTTTCATGCATTCCCTGGCCATTGTGTGTATTGAGTAAGGAAGGCAAAACCGAAGCCATTGGTGTCGGCCCTATTAAACTACGCTGCTGGCCTTACCGCGACAACAACCTAACGGATACCAACGTGTAGCAAGCTATCGACATGCGCTTAATGCCTCTTTTTTTGTAACTTGTTTTGTACTTTGTACGACACAGGCCAATATCACTGCTCACCCATATACACATCATTATTTTAACATCACAATATAACAAACACGTGTGCATTGATTATGTGACGAACGCTGCAGCTAGAAACTCCTCTCTACTCATAACAATCGTTCTTGACTTGGAGCCACATCGCAGGTTGCCTTTGTGACTTGCATATACACATTCAAATTCCAAACCTTTTGCACGAAAAAGATGCCAAAAAGCTCACGCGAAAAAATGTTAAATTTGCCGGGGTGTTCACTAAGGCTGTTCCCTTGCTTCCAAGCCGCGGCCTAGCGGAGCGCCTGGAATCAAGGGCAGGCCAAAAAGGCATTTGCAACAAAGATTTAGATAATAATGATAGTAACAAAAAGCATTTTGCAACAAAGAATCTCTTGACCAGCCATCCAAAAGGACAACTATGGCCACACTAACTACCACTCACAGAGCGCAAAATGCTGGCCAGAAATGTCCCCAAGATTGAAATGGCTACACCATACATACCCTTGTGATAGGCTACACTGGAAACCTTCGGCACGCGGATAAACAACACCAAAAGGCAGAGCAGCACCACAGGCTTGCGGCCCTCCTCCGCCAGGACGGATGGCTTGTCCAGTACTCACCACAGGAGGCTATGAGGCTGGCTGGCACCATTCGCTCCATCCGCTCCAATCGCTGGCACCATCCGCTCCAACCTGAAGAAATCCCTAATGGCCATGGGGGTGGCCCCCAGGCATGCCTCCTAAAGCTGCAATAGCCTGCACCACCATGCCAACCACCACCTAAACTTATTTATGCCGTCGTGTCCTGGAGCGGGGCACAAAGCCCCCTGCTATAGTGGACAGGTAATCCCTACCTACACCACCCCGACAGTGGTGCTGCTGGCATACAAGGGATAACACTCTTCAGTTCCTCGCCCCCACAACACACGCCAGGGCTACACCCGGCGTAACTATTATTGTTATTATTACCTTTATTATTACCGCGCCTCTATAGTGTTTACCTGATACCATAACTAGTATTCAGGAAAACGGGAACAGCGACATGCTGCCAAGTGGCTATCTGTGAAAGTCGACAGTCAAACTCTGCAAGCAAGGGGGTTTAGCGTCTGGGTAATAAGGTGTGATTGTGCCTACAGGTGCATGCCATGAAACGACGTGAGTGCATGCCCTAACGCTCCAGTAATTGGAATACGTACCTGTACTGGGAAGGGGGGCTCCGCCCTTTTCCTGCTTTGAGAAAGCTGAAAATCCCTTGTCCAAAGGAAGCTATGCCTGTCCGCAGGTGTCCCTCTCGGGCCTGTGCTCCAAGCAACGCATAGTGAATGTTTGCATTAGGACCGACAGTGTCACAATGAGGTAGCGAGTTTGATCCTTATTATGTTTCACCCTTCTCTTAAGTAGCATCAATCTTCCTCCCCTCCATTCTTTACCAGCAGGCTTGCCTTGGAAGCTTCAAGGATTCTTTCGAACGGCACAACCACGAGGTGGTAAAACACACACGGGTGGGTGCCGAACAGTTAGACACAGCGCCCGGATAGGCCCCGGATAGGTCCTTCATGAACGAGTGTGTCCACTTATCTAAAGAGTTGTGTTAGGTGCCCAAAATATCCGTTTAACTGAGCTACATAGATCTCAACTGCGTTCATGCTCTTTATTTGTTGTTAGCTGCACATGGTGAATGATCTCTGCCATAGTCAAGCGCCTGGAACACCTACAAAGAGTACTTGCAAGTACTGCATGCTCTGCAAGAAGCTGGCAGGGCATGCAGTACTAGGCCCTTAAGGTCCCTTAAGGTTGCTTGGCTGGCTCCATTGCCCTTGCTGTCGTTGCAGCGCCTGACCAACGCACTTGCTGTCAAGTGTGCCTTGCCTCCACCTGCTGCGGATTATGAGGAGGGTGATCTCCCAGCCCTCCTGTGCCGGCTGGGTGGCAGCGAGGACGTGCAGAAGGCCATCATGGTCGTGGCGGCGGATCCTGATCTTCTGTGGCAGCTCAAGGGGCTGACGATGCAGGTGGGATGGGGCGGCAGGGCGAAGCAATTTCTACTGTGTCTGCCTTCAGGTGCCTTCACTGGTGATTGAATGCCAAATATTCTTGCCATAAATTGCTGGTGGGTTGTTTGCAAGTTTAAATAGCGTGTATAGCAGTAAGGGCCCAGGGTGATGTATATGGATAGTGGTTCATATGCTGTGAGGTAGAACAGGCCTGCTGTTGTAGGCTACACATCGTACTTGCCATTTCAGGTCCAGTCGCAGAAGTTTGAGTCGGCGCTGCTGGCGGTCCTGGAGGCGGCGCGGCTTGTCCGTCTGCCAGACAAGCTGCCGCCCGAGCTGCGGCGCTTCTGGCACCAGCACTTCAATGCTGAAAGCGTTAGCTTCGACATCTTTTGCGATGTGGTGGGTTTTCGCAGAAACAATACCGTGTCCTAGGGATATCATCGCATTGTGATTGTTTGTAGGAGTCTCAACTGCTCATCTCCGCCGCTCAGTTCTCTCATATCGATAGGCAGCTGCTAAGGACCAAACTTGTAGATCTTGCTTGTAATGGTGTTGCGCGATGATTACAAGCAGGTACGGTAGTTTGTTGTGTCATGTACACTGGGTATATTTGGTAAACGTTTGCAGAGCTTGACTTCAAAGGCAGTAGGTTACGACACATTTTCTTTGCTTTTAGCGAAGCAGCGAGTGTTCAGGCAGCGGGTGCTGCCTCAGGATTGTGACGGCTGAATTGCAACAAGTTGCGAATGTAGTTAAGAACATCGAAACCTAACCTCCATGCGGCATGTCTTGTGCATAGGAGTGTGCCTTACACATTTCAATGCCTGTACGTACGCACGCCTGCACCATCTGCGTGCAGGTTCTGTCCACAGTTGAGGATAAAGTATACGACATGGCCCTGGCTGTCAAGGAGCGAACAGTCAAGGTGCAGATGGCATGGGTAGTAGTGTCGGTTAGACAATTCTCTTCGTAACAAAGTGCCATGATTGCTGCCGAGCCCATTTTCACTGGTCGGCTTATTACCCATTGTAGCCACACTCATGCCGGGTGATGGCACTGCTAGATAGGTAATAATATCCGTAGGCCTGACAATTGCTTACTTGGCGTCCTGCTACCATACATGGTTCTATGTGGCTTGGCACTGCAGCTAGCTACGACAAAATTATAGCAATTCTGGAAATGAAGGTGAACATGAATGTGTCATTCATCTTTTTGTGCC